TATGTATATGGACACATAGTCGTCTCGTAACTTGACAACTCATATATGCGTGCAGTTCATTACTCTATACCATTAACATTAACAAACAAGTAATGTATTTGTAAATAAAGTCACCTGACCTTTGACAAACACCTGCATCCCGAGAGCGAGAGCTTCAGATCAACTATTATTCTGCAAAGTAGTAGCAGAATAACTCATTATTACGTTTAAGTAAGTTATATTGACGCAAAAACCCACTTCGATCGGTGTTTTTATTACCCCGCGTTTACCACAGTATACAAACTTTCGACGAAGTATGTTTTATTTATTTCTGCCTCGGAGCTTGAAAACCGAATATCGATTATGACGACAACTGGTAAATCTCACACTTGCTCTTGTTGTATTCAAAAAATGATTACTGTTAGATGCCCAAACTGTTAATATGAGATTATTACGAGAATACCTCAAAGTATGCACGAAGACAGTGCCGCTGGAGTATCGACCGACGCGCAGCGGATGTCGATGCGCAGCGTACTGTCAAAATTCATACTTTGATATATTTTCGTAATAACCTTATTATTATACATCTTTTCCTTTCAAAGGTTACATCATTGGAATGCCGAAATCCAAAATGTTTAGAACAGAATCAGCGACCTTCTTTGTGTCGAGTCTGGTCAAACCCTGATGGCAGCCATGGACGCTTACGCGCGTAATCATTCCATATTTTCCTTATATGGTATATACCCCGTAAAATACGACACGCAGTAACTTATGGCGTTACGGTGACAGATGTATGCTGTTACGCCTGCTATGATTGGTTGAAACTCGGTCACACCACATTGAATAAAAATGGATATTATTGGCGTGAACAAATTAGTGTCGGAATGGGTAATATCAACAATGGTATGCCTCACAGTCTGAACAATATGAAACATTGAGTGTGTGATTGTTACGGCAACAGCTTTGAAACGTTGGTAGATCACCATGTGTAATCTGATTCTTATGACAAAGTAATTGATTATAATTTAGATATGCGAAATTTGTTGGAATTACGTCAATGCGTTTGGGATTATTACTCTCCTGTTGAAATCCGGGACATTGGAATATACATGACAAGCTAGACAAGTTACACAGAATGTATGGAGACACGGAAGATACTTAGGTAGTTTGTCGGTGACGTCATACACATGTTTGCATAGTGTACACAATGAGTTGAGTGGGTTCTCATTTTCACTATTATGTAGAATTTCTGTATCACCTATTTCCGCCATTGTTATCTGTAAAACATCTGATATTTGGTCATTTGTAGAGCTTGCCAGCAGTTGCATATTTGTATACTGACATATCACGGTAATTTTTGAAACCCATCAATTTACTATTGGTTTAATAATACTATTCCATAATCGCAGCTGTAATCAATGATCACAAATATATGCAATATAACTGACAAAGCGAAAGTTTACATCGAACAGTTTGACAAGTGTCACCTATCATCGATAGTGTAACACAGCAATTTCTATCTGATCAAGTGCAAAATTTCTCCTTCAATTAGTGATAGTGGTTCCCGCAATACACTATGTGGCATGATTTAACAACTCTGCGTAACTTGGTCATGGCATAGTACAAGAACTGACAACCCACGGACCCACGTAGACACCGTGGCGCTAACTTTCACATTACTTGGAGATCGCTATAACAATTCAATAGGAGATCTATGGTGGATCTGAATCGAAAGGCGACAGATCAAAATTTGACATTTTGGACAGAAACAATGCTATAGCAATGTTAATCGATTGGTAACAGACGTTACAAGCATATACCAAATATTGAAAGTAATTACATACAATCGATAATAAACAATACCTTTTTCCTAGTTTGGAAAGTTAGTTGTGGGTGAGTGCCTTTTGTAAACACACGTTATATGTAGTAAGGTGATAATACTTAAGGTGATTAATACTTGATATAAGTAATCTATATGAGTAAATCTATATGACGTTACTGGTGATGTATTACAACCGAAACTGTGTGTTCGTGATAGCGGACTGAATGCAAACTCACATCTCACCTAAATATAAAGACACTGTATAGCATTCGGGAAGATAAATCAGTCAGTAACTTCGTTACATGCCCCAGTACCCAGTATTTCTAACATGGTAGGTCGTTTCTACCAATCAAATCGCAGGATTCACGTTCTATAGAATTAGAAAATCTAACTTTTGTAAAGTGTCGCCATTATTTCAGAACAGCAATTTGTACAGGATATACTCGTAAACATATTTATTGTGTGTCACGCACAAGGGGGCTGGT